TGGATCAAAACAAGCCAACCGCTGGATCAAAACAACCCAACCGCTGGATCAAAACACCCCAACCGCTGGATCAAAACAACCCAACCGCTGGATCAAAACACCCCAACCGCTGGATCAAAACAACCCAACCGCTGGATCAAAACACCCCAACCGCTGGATCAAAACAACCCAACCGCTGGATCAAAACACCCCAACCGCTGGATCAAAACAACCCAACCGCTGGATCAAAACACCCCAACCGCTGGATCAAAACAACCCAACCGCTGGATCAAAACACCCCAACCGCTGGATCAAAACAACCCAACCGCTGGATCAAAACACCCCAACCGCTGGATCAAAACAACCCAACCGCTGGATCAAAACACCCCAACCGCTGGATCAAAACAACCCAACCGCTGGATCAAAACACCCCAACCGCTGGATCAAAACAACCCAACCGCTGGATCAAAACACCCCAACCGCTGGATCAAAACAACCCAACCGCTGGATCAAAACACCCCAACCGCTGGATCAAAACAACCCAACCGCTGGATCAAAACACCCCAACCGCTGGATCAAAACAACCCAACCGCTGGATCAAAACACCCCAACCGCTGGATCAAAACAACCCAACCGCTGGATCAAAACACCCCAACCGCTGGATCAAAACAACCCAACCGCTGGATCAAAACACCCCAACCGCTGGATCAAAACAACCCAACCGCTGGATCAAAACACCCCAACCGCTGGATCAAAACAACCCAACCGCTGGATCAAAACACCCCAACCGCTGGATCAAAACAACCCAACCGCTGGATCAAAACACCCCAACCGCTGGATCAAAACAACCCAACCGCTGGGCCAAAACAACCCAACCGCTGGGTCAAAACAACCCAACCGCTGGATCAAAACAAGCCAACCGCTGGTTCAAAACAACCCAACCGCTGGATCAAAACAAGCCAACCGCTGGGTCAAAACAACCCAACCGCTGGGTCAAAACAACCCAACAGCTGGGTCAAAACAACCCAACAGCTGGTTCAAAACAACCCAACCGCTGGGTCAAAACAACCCCACAGCTGGTTCAAAACAACCCAACCGCTGGATCAAAACAAGCCAACCGCTGGGTCAAAACAACCCAACCGCTGGGTCAAAACAACCCAACAGCTGGGTCAAAACAACCCAACAGCTGGGTCAAAACAACCCAACAGCTGGTTCAAAACAACCCAACAGCTGGATCAAAACAACCCAACAGCTGGATCAAAACAACCCAACCGCTGGATCAAAACAACCCAACCGCTGGATCAAAACAACCCAACCGCTGGATCAAAACAACCCAACAGCTGGATCAAAACAACCCAACCGCTGGGACAAAACCCTTTTAACCCAGCATTTTTTAGAGTGTAAAGGTTCTTTGTGGAACCATAGATGCCAATAAAGAACCTTAATTTTTAAGTTGCTTACAAATCTTTAATTATGGCTGTTTATGATGATGTATGGTCAATTAATAATTTAAAAACACTTTATTTATAAGGGTCTGTTTTATCTCATTTAAGCTTATCATGTAGCCTGGACATTTCCTGTCTGATTGTAGATGAGATTACGGATGGCAGCCTATCAGTTACCCGTCTGATATTTCTAGCTTGGCCATGCCAGACATGCCTAGATGATGGAGACGATGGACTTCAGTTGGTGGTAGATCTTGATCATGCTGGTTAGAGCTGAACTACCTTGAGCAAATCATGACCCAAACAACAGCTCAAGTTTGTAAGACATTGTTTTTCCAAAAGAGACTAAATAACTTCTGCCACTTTTCAGAAGTAAGCAGATATTTGCGATAAACATAGTAGAACTTTGTTCGTTTTTCATTGTTACGAAACCTTTAAAAATGAGGCATGAATTTTAAAACTGCTTAGCGTACATTCATATTTCACCGAAAACACAGAGGTTTGTTTCTTTCCTTTCCGGTGAAGACAATGCAGAGTTGCAGCACTTGTTTATAAGACAGATATAATGACTTTTATACTAATTCAAACATTTTTTGAGAGCCTGTGTGGTCAAGTTGGTTGGCTGTTAATGTTTAAATAAAAACATGAAATACATTTACTTCAAAAATAAGTTCAGTTTTTCTGATGCTGTTAATCATGCGAGCAAGAGAAAGTGGGAAATACGAAGAGAAGGTGTGTTTAAATTGTTATTTGTTTACAGTCTCAATTTAAGTAGAAGGACAGCAAATGACATAAAACAAATAGTTGTTTTCATGGAGACAAACATCTGATTATTCTGCTGGATTGTGTCTGTCTAGCCACATTACGAAGCATCAAAACCATGTTTCTAGATGTATGTTCAATGTTCAGACACAGAGATTTCACTCTGCATTTAAATAGAATCATTATTTTAAAAAACTCCTTTCTTATTATTTCTGCTTTTTTTATTATGCATAACGCCCCCTTGTGGTAGAAAAAGATGCTTTGTTTTGAAGCATGTGCTTTTCACTGGTAATGATTTATTACTCTCTATAGCATCCAGTGACTTGACATCTGTGAATCTGCAAAATGTCAGGCTTACGTAAGATGATGTATATTGCACAGACATGTTTTGCTGAGGACACACACACATTGCAGACATGTCAATTTGGTCAGGAACCTCCACGTGGGCCTCATTAGGAGCGAACCCTCAGCTAGAAGGAGCTGAGAGTGAATAGGCTTCTGCTGAGTGAGATTTGCTTACGAAGAATCCCATTAAAGCACAACCCACAGAAAACCTGCAGTCCTTGGTGCACATGACAGGCTGTAAACAAACTACACCATGGTCACATGACTTTGTCACCACCGTGAAGCTTCAGACAACGTACAGAGTTATAATAGTTTGTGAGACTGCGATTGTAAACGCAACGAGGCTGTGTAACTACTGAGTAAATGAGTTCACGTGATGAACTTCTGTAGTCCTCTTAGCAGCTGCCTTTCACAAGAGGATATTACTGATGGGTTTTATGTTGTAGAATAAAACGTGAAAATATCGTGAGCCCGTGTTCACCTCAGGCCTGTTTAACCAAAAACCCATTGACTTCAGGATGATGGAATCTGAAGTGTTAAAATGCTAACGTGTTTCCACTTTATGCCCTACAAAGTTATGTCATCCTTGCAGCACTCTACTTATGACACCTTACACACATTTGTGACATTTGTGTAATGCTTCATCCACACAGATAGGTGTCAGTATAACATTCATCAAATCCATGTAACAGACCATTATTGCATAAAGGGGGTCACGTCCTGGGTCCAAAACCATATAGAGCAGTATGTCTGAAGAGTAGTATGAGATTTGCATTTTCAAAACACAATTAAAATGTACATTAAGCGTGTTTTTCCTTTTGTTTTTATTCAATTAACGAAGGCGCTGTAAACGGAATCGTTATAAATCGTAATTGTTACATCTTATTTTATACATACAACATAGCTACTTTAATTGTATATATATAAAAAAAACAATTCTAACAAATGTACCGTAAATACAGACGCTGCATCTGTTGCATCCATCATATTTTCTCAGTGACATGCTTCCAACTCAGAAACTGGCTCAAAGAAAATCCAGGGATTCTCACTTATAATTATGACTCATAAACAGTGCTGGGTAGTACCTGATTACATGTAATGGATTATGTAATCATATATGTAGTATTTGTAATTAGATTACATTTTAAAATGCCCATAATCAGATTACTTTTTGTGGATTACATGATTACAGATTATTCATATTGGTAACTTTGCAACAAGGTTCACTGGTTAACATTACTTTAGTTAACATGACCTAAGAATGAACAATACTTTTACGCCATTTATTAATCTTAGTTAATTTGAACATTTACTAATGCGTTATTAAAATCAAAAGCTGTGCTTGTTAACATTAGTTATCATAATCAGATTACTTTTTGTGGATTACATGATTACAGATTATTCATATTGGTAACACTTTGCAACAAGGTTCACTGGTTAACATTACTTTAGTTAACATGACCTAAGAATGAACAATACTTTTACGCCATTTATTAATCTTAGTTAATTTGAACATTTACTAATGCGTTATTAAAATCAAAAGCTGTGCTTGTTAACATTAGTTAATGCGCTGTGAATTAACATGAACGACTGTATTTTCATTAACTCACATTAACAAAGATGAATAAATACTGTAATAAATCTATTGCTCATTGTTTGTTCATGTTAGTTAATACATTAACTAATGGAACCTTATTGTAAAGTGTTACCTTCATATTTTATTAATTCGCCATAATTATTCTTTTCTCTTTTAAATGTTCCTTTCTAAAAAAAAAATCTTTAATTTGTGACCCATGCTTCTGAATTTGGGGACAAAAGCATGCATGAGACGAATAATTAAGCAGGTTACTAAACACTTCCAATGTATAACTAACAAACATATTTAAAACCTGGAAGACTTTGACCATGTCTTTGCTGTTTTCAGCTTCATTAATGTTTCATGTGATGCAGGGATTCCCAAACTTGTCAAACCCCTTTGACCTAAAATATTTACCTGAAGCCCCCATGAGAATTAAAGTTAATATTTCAATAATTTAACAACACATTCACATGTTCTCTGAAGTTGGTTAATAGTCACATGGACATGCAGGCAAACAAATAAAATAGTTTTTAATTTACCCCAGTTTGGGAAACCCTGGAGTAACGCAATGCTTTTCATGATAAAGAGTTGAATATATTTTATTTTTCTTTGTTTTGTTTTTGTTTAGAAAAAACAATAATGCCATTTAAATCTATAAACAAGTTAGGTCAAAAGTAATCCAGAATACATGACCAAACATGAGTAATCTACAGTAATTACATTTTAATTTGTAAGTAATTTACCCAGTACTGCTCATAAACATCATCTTCCAACACAACATTAGAAAAATGCTAAAAAATAAATAAATTGGTTCACCTTTAATAATTACTGATGATGAAGTCACTCTTAAAACATTTACGAAAAAGTGTTTTTTATTTGTTTATTTGACAAGCAGCAGAATCATGTTTGTCACCTCATATTTGTTTTTTTATATCTTGAAAGTAAATGCAATTATCAGTATACCGGTTTTATTACAATAGTTCTTTGACTTTGATACATTAAAAAAAGAAAACACACAACAACTGCAACGGGAGAAAAGAAAGCGTGGTTGTTTTTTCGGCCGTTTCTCAAACACTTCACCTGTTTTGCTCTATGTGATGCATTTCATTCGCTCGCTTTCTCTTGCACGATTACGTCTAAAAATGTATTATCCTTTTACGTTCGAGTAGCTATAGGCATTTTCTTTTTTCAGAGACGCCCTGGGCGTGGCACTGGTGATGTAAACAGCATAAAATCAGAAGGGGGTGGGATGGGGGTGCTTTTAATGACTGTCCAGCTACTCGGAGGCCCTTTTTTAACACAGATGGAGGCGCAGAGTACCGATTCGATCCAATGGTTGAGTGCCGGAGCCAGCCAGAGCCGAAAATAAAAGACATGTCTACTGTTCACGCTTTACGGCATTTTTTGATTTTCTTTCATTAAATGAATGTTTTCATGCGACATAGCTGTATTCGTCCGCAGAGCTCTGGCTTCGCTCGATGTACTGCTTGTCGATAAGAACCTCAATGCACTTCTTGATCATGCTGATACTCGGGTTGAATCTCGCTTTGGATTGGTTGATTACCTGAAAGAATTAGCACACACAAACAAAATTAGGTTGCTTATATTCGTGAAAGCACACACTCGTATTGCTGTTACCATTGCTGCAGTATACAGTATAGCACTATATATCATTCTGCAGTATATAGTATTTCTGCAGTATATAGTATTGCACTATATATCATTCTGCAGTATAGTACATGTTAGTGTAAAAATAATGTTTTATTGTATTTTTGATCAGATAATGCAGACTTGGTGAGCAGAAGAGATTTAAAATAATAAAAATTAAAATATTAAACATATTTAAATACCCTGTTTCCATGACAATTACTATACAGTATGACAATTTCTGTATTACTACATTTACTGAAATAGACAGTCCCACTCCTGGATGCTGATTGTGGTCAATACAGTGATTAATGATTATATATATATAATGAGAGAGAGAGAGAGAGAGAGAGAGAGAGAGAGAGAGAGAGAGAGAGAGCAAAGACCCATTTATGCTGTGAAAAAAAAGTGATTAATTGCATGATTAGAAATGGTAATAATGTCACATTCTGTAAATGTTAACATATTTTTTAATTATTTAAATTGAAGTTAATATTGTTAATTTATTTTTTTATTTTTTACTATTTTCTCTTGACTTCTCCACAGACCCCCAGAACCCATCTCAGGAATTTTTTTTTTTTTTAATAAGTAGCATAGTTATATTTATACAGTTTGCAGAACATTAACGCTCTGATCATAACCTTACATTCAGATATATGTTCTGTGCTTTCAGTGTCTGATGGTAAACTTGATGATAATCTCTGGTTACATGGACGTTCTTGAGAATGGTCAAACACTGTCTTGTCACGACTGACCCAGAAACTAAGGATTTGACTTTTTCAGTAAAGCTTGAACAGATTAAAGTTGCAGACTTTGTAATCCATATTTCCACAGTAAGATCAGCCTTCCTGCGAGATATAAAAAAGCAAGGCAAACCTGCCTTGACTGCATGACTGTGTTCTTGATTTGCCATATATATATATATATATATATATTACTAGGAATAAATAATTGCTGGATGACAGGATAAATTGTTATTTAATAAACCAACAAATTGAAAGGTTGAGCGCTGCCATTGTTATGAGCTGTTTTCTGGCTGAAGATGTGTTTGAGTGTGATGCTGTTTGATCCAAAGCAATGAGAAGCACATGCACTAACACAGAAATCCAAACACTGGACCGCTGCAGGGAGAGCAGGAGCGCCAGCAGAAATTCACAGCCCATAATCAAATCTATTTCATAATTCACACCTGCGTCTGTCCTTTCATTTACGGTAAACAGATGAATACATGAGCAAATGTTTTATGTCATTACCACAGCTTTGACTAATCTCATCAATTTATTTTGATCAAATTACTTCACATTAATAATACTTTACAGTTAGTTACGGAAGCATGCTTCAGGTAACTGTGACTTTTTATCTCACAATTTGTATGTTTTTCTCACAATTCTGAGAAAAAAGTCAGAATTGCGAGATTCAATTACCTTTAAAAAATATTAAAGGAAATTGAGAGTTTTTATCTCACAATTCTGACTTTCAAAATGGCAAGAAAAGAAAAAAACAGTCTGAACTGTGAGATAAAATGTCAATTATGTGTTTTTTTCTTGTCCTGTTTTTCTTGACCATGTGCTAAATACAGAAGCTTGTACATGGAGAACAAAAGTATTTTTTTTCTTGTGTAATATTAGAGTGTAAATGATATCAACTTCATTAAGGGAGTACACATTGTTTGTCATTACAACAAATTATTATGCAATTATTTCAAACTCATGTTCATATTATGATAACATAAGAACACCATTGATGTCAAAAGCTATAGCTACTTGCCATTTATGATAAACCGTATTTTCCCCATAGACTTTAAAAATGTCATCTGCTTTCAGATGATGTATAAATCTCAATTTAAAAAAAATGTACCCTTATGACTGGTTTTCTGGTCCAGGGTCACGTAGATCACATTTTTATTTTAGTTTTAATTTATTAATTTATTTGCATTGAGACTTTAAGAAAAATAAAGTCTCATTATTGTGAAAAATATAAAACAAAATCTATAATAATAATAATAATAACAATAAAGATAAATCAATAACAACGCTAACGTTTGCAAATAAACATCATTGTAGTACTTGCTGTACACATTTTAATTTCCTGCCTGCTGACTTTGATCAAATCTGACCAGACACAATGATTTTTAGTACTGTTTCTACTGTATTGAGATTTTTTTCACACATTTTTCTTGGGAAAATGTGCTTAACTGTCATATAATGTAAAAATATAATTTTTGGGGTTAAAATATGACCCAGACATGAACCAGATTATAAAACTTCCCCAGTTTCAGGATCAGCCATGTGCACCATTCCCTCTTCATTCACTGTTCAGAAGAGACTGTGTTCAGCTCGTCTACGACTAGGGGGAAAACAGTGTGTGTGTGTGAGTGAGTGTGTGTGTGTGAGTGAGTGAGAGAGAGAGTGCGTGTGTGTGTCTGTGTGTGTGCGCGCACGTGTTTTTGTGACAAATGAGGACATAAATTTGTAATGACAAAGGTATGACAGGTATTACAAGGAGCAGGTGACTTCTCAGGACATTACCCCATGTCCCCACTTTTCAAAACGCTTATAAATCACACAGAATGGAGTGTATTGAAAATCTGAAATAGCACAAAGTCTCCTGTGAGGGGTAGGTTTAGGGGTAGGGTTGGTAGAGTGTGCGTGTGTGTGTGTGAGTATGAGTGTGTGTGAGAGTGTGTGTGTGAGTGTGCGTGAGTACGAGTGTGTGTGAGAGTGTGCGTGTGTGTGAAAGTGTGTGAGTGTGTGTGTGCATGCGTGCGTGTGTGTGTGCGTGCGTGAGAGTGTGTGCGTGTGTGTGTGTGTGTGTGTGTGTGTGAGAGAGAGTGTGCGTGTGTGTGAGAGTGTGTGAGTGTGTGTGTGCATGCGTGCGTGTGTGAGTGTGTGCGTGAGAGTGTGTGAGCGTGCGTGAGAGTGTGTGTGTGTGCGTGAGAGTGTGTGAGCGTGCGTGAGAGTGTGTGTGTGTGCGTGAGAGTGTGTGAGCGTGCGTGAGAGTGTGTGTGTGTGTGCGTGCGTGCGTGTGTGTGAGTGCGTGTGCATGCGTGCGTGTGAGAGTGTGTGCGTGAGAGTGTGTGAGCGTGCGTGAGAGTGTGTGTGTGTGCGTGTGAGTGTGCATGTGAGAGAGAGTGTGTGCGTGTGTGTGCGTGCATGCGTATGTGAGTGTGAGTGTGTGTGTGCGTGCGTGCGTGAGAGAGAGTGTGTGTGTGTGTGTGTGCGTGTGTGAGAGTGTGCGTGTGCGTGTGAGAGAGAGTGTGTGTGTGTGTGTGTGCAGTAAAAACAGTCTACATCTCAGTTTTCTTGTGTAACAGCCGTCTGGTCTTCAGACGTGTTCTGACAGCAGTCTATGTCAAAGTCTCTCATTCCTGACATATGTGCTCTTATCTGCACGGGCTAGGATTTGTTTCCTGGTGTTCTGCACATATGATTATTTGTGCACAGTGTCTGATCTCTGTGTCAGGTACCACACGCATTCCTGTACACTGCACACCCTGAGCGCTCCCTCAAATTAAGATTATAAACAGAAAGTTTGAAGTATTAGCAGACGAGAATCTGCCGTCTCACCTCCTGTATGAGGGCGTTGTGTCTCAAGACTTTCCTGGCTTTCATAATCCTCACTATAGCAGCCTGTAAATACATTTTCCTGTCTTCATCCACGGCACTCCTCGTCTGTTCCAGCTCCTGACGCACACAAAGGGCATCACAGGGTTTATATGACTAGATATATAATGGCATTTGCTCAGCGCGAGACTCTGTACCTGTGGCGTGTCCTTCTGCATCGATGTTGTGATCTTGAACTTTGTTCTTTTACTGGTGAAACTCATAATTAAGGAAAACGTGGATTCGGCTTCGATCTCCTCCTGGAGGCAAAAAGAACGTGGGAGTCTAGTTATGATAAATCGATTAAACATCAAACAAACAATTAAAAATGAATAAAAATGACTGGTTGCGTGAGCCACGAATGAACTGATCTCAAACATACTTTCTGCGAGTCGTGACTGATCATCTTGACGTCCAGCAGGGATTTAATGGTCTTCTGGAGCTCCTTCTCGTTCATCTGCGTGCTGTCCTGCAGTTCTTTGTAGCTCACAGTCTCGCTGTTGTTGAACGCCAGCAGAACGGCCATCTGATAGGTGGTCACCACCGCCACGTAGGGCTTGCACAGATAATTCATCTTTACCTCGCCTGACACAAACAAGAACCAGTGTTGATAAAAAATAACTTGAATACAATATCAAATATTAGATATGTTGTCTCCACCTTTTATCTGACCATTATAATAAAATAGGCTGTTTTTGCAACAGCACCTTAAAGTCTTTAATATGCAAATGAATTCTGCTATGATTGGCTAATCATTTAGCATGTAAAATTAGTACCAAACTCCTTTTATATAAATGTGAGCATTCATATGTTAAAGTTCTAATGCTTGTGATGTCAAAATAGTGATGATTTAAAAATTTAATAATTACTTGATTTTTGACATTAACTATTTTGGGGGGCTTTTCTCAGTTGATACTGATTTATGCAATTAATTACCGTATTGACCCGAATATAAGACGATGTTTTTTTCTTGGAAATACATCTGAAAAAACGCGGCCGTCTTATATTCAGGGTCTAGACTTTGACATGTCCATAATACACACACAACAATATGTGGCACCAAATACGCATTAAAACGAGTGTGTCATGAAATACGTAATGTAATGCGTGTTGTAAAGATCGCGAGTAAAAACTAAAGAAAAAGCAAAGCTTACAGCTGCATGAGTCGTGACGGTCACGTTAGCCTGATGGGACCAAACTCCCTTTGTGATTTTAAAACGTAAGACAGTACCCAGATTTGAAGACTACAGGAAGATTTAACTTCTACTGTTAATAAGATTTTGGTAGGCTACTATTAGATGGATAGCCTAAATGTCCTAATTTTTTTTAATGGCATATCAAAAAGTGTATCTTTTTTAAATGTGATTGTTGGTACATTTGACCAGTTTTTACCATACTTTCAAAACAAAAATTAAAATAGGAAAAATATGCAATATAAAAATAATTGAAGACAAAATGTGTTTTACTGAGAAAAAACAAGATTTGTTTTTTAAAAAGCCTTTTTCCAAAAGGTACATCTGGAAAAAGGGGGGTCGTCTTATAATCAAGGTCGTCTTATATTCGGGCCAATACGGTAATAAATACACTAACAGCATATACACTGGAGAGAGTTTGCAGAGCTTTGAAGACGCTTAAATATAAGATTAAGTTCTGATTTAACTGGTTTGTTCACCACATATTTTCCATATTTCAATTTGTTATTTCATAAACTTCATGAATGTATTATTACTCTGGACAATAGTAAATATAAATGTCGGTGTGTTCAAACATTTGGGTGATATAGTGTATGTGATGGTTAGCGTTCTGCTAAAATCGTCTCCACTTTGAAGCTTCTGTCAGTTGTCTGTGTCTGCACACTGTAAGTGTGACTGTATTTTGCTTGTCCTGCTGAGTTGACGGATTACTCAGGATATTTTGTCACAGCTCAGTGTGATAATCCGACTCTTGCTGCTGAACCGTGGCAAGGATTTGCTGTGGTTTTGTAGAAATACCAGATGCCGCTAATCAGACTTCCACAGCACCAGCCAACAAATATTATCTCACGCATATCAGATTAATTTCTACACCATCAACCTCTGCGCCAGAATCAGGAATGCAGATGGTGTAGGTGCAGTAAACGGAAATTAAATTAAGTGCAATATGCAAGTTCAAAATACTAGATCTGTCAATTCAATATGTATTTATTTTAAATAAATAAATTTTTTAATTACATAAATTAGGGATGCACAGACATGAAAATTCTGGGCCGAAACCGAAGCTGATAATGCTTTGCAATAATTATTTATTATTTTATTAAATAATATAAAGTAATTTGTAAGACTTTTTAATTTAACTCAGTCATTTTAATTACTGAATACTGAATTTAAAAAACACAAGCCAATAAAATAATCACACTTTTATTGAAAGTAACAATGAAATTGGGCAAAAACAAATAATATTATATAATTTTTATATTATATAAATTATATTATTTTTATTCAGTTCTATGCAACACTGCTGGGCGATGCAGTGCATCGAATATTTTCGACCGTTTTTCTATTTCGGTGCATCCCTAATTTAAATATTAATATAATTATTTAACTAATTGGGAGGCTTTCTCAGGTAATACTGATATATGTGATTAATTACAATTAATTAGTGTTTTTAATCAGCATATCCTGTAATCAGGGGTTAAAGCAAAAAAAATCCTGGGCGGGGCAGCACATGCAAAGCATGCAATGACTGGCAACTTTAACATCTGAAAGGATACTATGGCAAAGTTATCGCTTTCCTTATTCAAACTGATTTATTTTTTTCATGAATATATGGTTGGCCTGAAGAATGAAAGCTGTATCATACACTTAGAAAATGATGAGCTATATCACCGCTTATCGACTCTAGGGGTGTGACAACACACTTAGCTCACGAGATGAGACGAAATACAGATACTAGCTTCACTAGAACGTGACAATATTTTAATGCTATTTGTAAGAAATTTTCAATGACAAAATATTTGTCTTTTAATTACAAAAAGCAGAACAATGCAGTTATATTTAGAAATATTTTAACTAATCTAGGGCTGTAACTAATGATTATTTTGGTAATCAAGTAATCTACTGATTATTTTGACAACTGAGTAATCTGATATTTTTTAGTAACAAACAGACCTAAGTGAAAACCAGGCCTGAGTATGACTATTTATATATAAACTAACGATGAGGCAATAATAATTGGCTCAAATAAAATACCAAAACCAAGAAATTACACGATTGTATTGAACAACACTGTTAAAATACATAATGTAATATGCCTATACATCATATGAACATAACCAACTTAAGTACATCATGTATTAAAAAACAAATACCTGCAGAGGGCGCCGACGGCCTGGTGACGTTTCACTTTACAGCATGATTAAAGGATGTTTAAATCCATTTAATTTTAAAATTTGGCCACATGCAGAAACTTTTATTTTGTAATCGCGATGTACAATACATGGCATATTTAGACATAGGTTGATGTATTCTCCTGTGTTGGCAAAGGTTTATAAATGACTTACGTTACAAATCTAGTGAGATAATGCACACTGTTTTTCCAGATGAACGTTAAGCAATTCAAATTCTCGGCATATGCAGAGGAAGAGTTTAGGCCCTTTCACACATACAGTACTGGTAAATTACCGGTAAGTTACCATTAATAGATCATGTGTGAACAGGACCTTTTCAAAAATCCCGGTAAATTTGTTCTGGCAATCATATCGTTTTATGGAGATGGCGTGATTACTCTGAGCTGTTTACAAAGCTCCGCTGGTTTTTAATTAGTTATTCTATGTAAATATGCACTAGATGGACATCTTTGACATGCTTTTTGTCGCGCTTCTCCATTCATCAGGACTGCGACTCTGCAGTTGGACACTATTATGCCCGTCTCGTGTTTATAAGAGCAAAACATTCTGATCGTAGTAATGTTAGTTTGGTTGAGAGTGAAAGCCGTGCTCATCTCATACCATTGGTGGGCGAACTCATGGACTCGAAAGTGATATCAATCAACAAGATTTTGTTTTTAATGTAGGACTATTTTTTCCCGCAGCCAAACGCTGCACGCCGGAGAACTTTAAGCCCAGTGTAATTAATTTGATTAAAAAAATCTTAACATCCCTAATATTTACATATATCAGCTTGCCAGCATTGTGGGAATTTGTGCATCAAATAATACAATATTAGTATTTTCAATCAATGCTGATTAATGCTGATAGGCAGTTTGAGAATCAGAAAAGGTGGTGATCAGAAGTTATTAAAAAATGCAAAAGTTTGGGGTCAGTAATATAATTTTTTTAAGAAGTTAATACTTTTATTGAGCTATGCCATCACAGGAATATATTTTAAAATATATTAAAATAGAAAGCAGTTACTTTAAATTGTAATAATATTTTAATTGTAATATATATATATATATATATATATATATATATATGTGTGTCAAAATAAATGCAGAAAAAATGCAACAACAAAAAAAAAACTTACCAACGCCAAACTTTTCAAATGTAGTGCATGTCTCTATATGACCGACTTTACCTGTGCAGAGATAATGTAGCCAGGTCAGCTTCCTTCCGCTGAAGTGCTGGTTATAAAACAACTCAAACTGCAGAAAGAAGACATCGGTTAAATCAGGGTCACCTACTTTCATAATGATTTTACATGTTCAGCTCTCAGTACATGAAGGAAGCTTTGCTCTTGCCCCTAATCATGACGGATCGTGTTTTGGAGCTTGTTGACAGGGCAGCTTACCATTTGTACACTTTTCTCCAGCTCCTGCGGGATGGCAAACGTGGAAGAGGGGACATGTGTGAGGGGCCACGCGCCTGCCTGAAACACATACGAGCGCATGTCAGCTCACACAACCAGCGCATGATCAACACATGCAAAATAGACATATTTTACATTACTATAACTTCCCCACTTATGGTACAGTCATAATGTATTGTAAAAGGCTCATTTTTCACCTTTTTATTGAGCCTTTTATATGTCAATGACCTCTGTTGTGTTTGGCTTACTATTTTGCGTTTGAAATAAATAGCAAAATCCCTCAATATATAAATGTAGACAGTCATTTAACATTCTCATAATTGAAATGACAAAATAGTGGTGATCTCAGAATTTATTTAGAAATGTATTTAATTTGTTTTATAATTTAATAATGACTTATTTAATTATTTAAATAATTACTATATTACTATTGATATAATTGTAATTAATTGCACGCACACACACACATATATATATATATATATAACATTGAAATTATATAATTATTGATATGAAATAATTATTGAATATTTAAATATAATTTATATACAATTTATTATATTTTTTATCAGCATATTGATAAATTGATTTGATTACATGATTTTAAAAAAATCAATTAACAGCCCTAATATTTTACATTATCCAGGATTATTATACAGGAACTATTCGAGCCGTTCATGCCAGACTGAGGAGAGAGAGAGGTGTTGTAATAATGTAAAATATGTGAAAAATAATGTGTTTTTCGAACAACCTAGTATGAGAGCCTGTTCTAGTACACCCCCAAAACAAAATCAAGACTTTGTAAAAGAGCATAATAGGACCCCTTTAAGCTTTACTAGACGTTATGTGGCAAAGTAATTGTTACTTATTCAAACAATGAATGCTTGTCCTTCTCTCTTACCTGTAATACATAAATCTGGAAGCTGATGCCCAGGTCCACGACAGTCTCCTGGGTTTTGATAAAGTTGTTGAATTTGTTGTTGAGGTCGGTGCTGACGCTCATATCAGTGTACATTCTGTGCAGTTTGCTCGTGAATTCATAGCCACACGCTTGCTGCGAGGCAAAGGACAGGGGAGGGAACCGAGAGCGAGAAAAACAATGAAAGGTCTGCTCGCTTTAATCACACCAAACCCTTCATCAGTCCCATCCGCAGTTTTACATAATGACAAAGCTGTGGCGCCCACAGCGAGCGAACACTTGATTATGGAGGACGAGTCACATCTGTGAACATTTTTACACACTTTTCAAGAAAGACGGCTGTGCGAGAGACTTGCTGTACCTTCAGTTTGTTGATCATGGCTTCCTCCGAGTCCATGGATAACGAAAGTCCATGTATTAACCTCTTTGCAAGCATTCTGGCGTAAAACTAAGAATAAACGATGGTTAAAAGAAGAGAACAACAAGAGATCAGTAAGTGTCACCCACAAAATACTGAAAACACCACAAAATGTAAAAAGATCTCAAAGGAAAGAAGCTGAGTAATATTTGACGACAAACTTTGATGTTGGCTTGACAAAGCCAAACCTGAAAGTATTAAATAGTTTTAAAAGCTTTAAGGTCAGCTAGACAGAAGGAAAACATACAAAATCCCATTCAGACCATATTAGACCACTTCAGACCCCAAAAACCAGTTCAGTCACCAATAAACCTTTTCACGATTTAACATTTTAACATGTTTTAGCACATTTCTAGCACAATGCCAACATATTCCTAACATGTTTCTAGCATGTTTTAGCATGCTAATGCTAATGTTCTAGCATTTTGTTAACATATTTGTTTAACATGTTGTTAACATGCTGCTAGAATGTTTTAGCACGTTTTAATATGTTGTTAGAATGTTTATACCATGTTTTAACAGACATGTGCTAATGTTTTAACATTAGTAACATGTTTTTTACATGTTTCTTATATCTTCCAAAATCTTCCAACATGCTGCTAACACGTTTTAGCACTGCTAGAATGTTTTAATACAATGCTAACATGTTTTAACACATGCTAACATTTTAACGCTTTGTAAAAAAATTTACATGTTGTTAACATACTGTAGCATATTCTACACATTATTATTCTGTTCTATTGTATACACATTTGTACGGCTAACATGTTGTAACACATTGCTGTTAACATGTTTTAACATGTTCCTAACTTGTTTCAACATGTTGCTAGCCTATTTTAACACTGCTTGCTTGATATAATGGGACAGGACATATCAAAATGTTGGGCCAATAGCTTTTAGCTTGCATCCCAGAAGCCCCTCTAAAGTCAGCCTGCAGACCAGACTGGAAGAGCCAAAACCAGCCCACCAGTTCAGACTGGTTTCAGCTGTTTGTTTGTTTATCAAGAGTTATTTCCTGTTCTCCTTCTACTATACCTGTAGATAAATCAAGACATTGCCTCACCTTCTGAAACACATCTTTGTCGTCAATGTATTTGAAGACCGTGATGAAGCTGGTCAGTTTGTCCTCCACTTCATTCTCCGTCATTCCTTTCGCAGATTTCTTCAACAGATTGTCACAGTACTTAGCCAGGTGATGCAGTTGGTAAGGTGGGGATATGCGGGTGCTAAGTATGGATTAAACTGTTTTATATTATATTACATATAAATAATCTCCATAGTCACATTTGTATTGTTTCAAAATATTGATGCATTTACTATCATGTTATTTATTATATTACATTATATTACATATTAATGATTTCCTTTTGCATTTGTTTCAAATGATGTTTTTACTATCATTATATATTATATTATATTATACAAATTCCATAATGGCATTTGTATTATTTCAAAGTACTGATGTATTTCCTATCGTTCTGAAATATGGAAAAGAGTAATAATGTGTAAGTGTCTACATTTTTGCATGGTACTGTATATACACTTGTACACCCTTTATAAACTGTGTTGAAATGTAAGAGTACCTTATCAAGCGCACTCATGAAGTGTTGGTCCCCATTCAACACTGTGTTAATCAGCTGGACAAATTTACTATGAACCTCCAACACCGACTCCACAAACTGGGTTGGCATCTGCAGGACAAAGATCAGAGGAAAACATGCAATTAATGCTATGTACAAATAAGCTGCTGTTTTTTATAGCTATACATTGCTTTTGGACACTTACGTTTTCCTGAGAGAGGTTACTGGTGGCTCTGAGACCCTCATCGTGGATGTGGACCTGGATTTCTTGGATCATGTGAGGTAAGCCGCTGGACACGGCTCGCAGTAGCGTGTACATATTCGCCATATCTGAAACCAAACACACCATCAGGACGTCCTACAGTTATAACATGCCAACTGAGACACATACGTACAAACATAAATCCATAAGCCGAAAGTGAAAGCTCAAACTGGTTATAAGTGTAACTAAAGTGCTGACCGTCTCTCTTTTCCTGTCTGATGATATTTTGACACTCGCCGTGCAGGAACTGCAGGTGATCGGCCACCATCCTCTGCTGACATTCATGGATGACTTTGGCGTAAGAGCTGGGGTGCAGATACTTCCGACATCTCACCTCCTCGTCTTTCAACCGGCCTAAAACCTGCCGAAACAGAGAGCATCAGCCACTGGCCAGCGGAGTCCATTTAGCCTCATTAACTCTTTCCCCGCCATTGACGAGTTATCTCGTCTTTTAGACGAAAACGCTTCCCCGCCAAAGACGAGTTTTTAACGTTTTTTCGTGTTTTCACTGTTATACACTCGGGGGCGCTATTACACATCTTCTGAACCAGGACAAAACCTCCCGAACAAAAAACACACGAGAACAGGACGGAGAAACGAGCGATATCTCATGTAAACAGATGCATATGAAAAATAATGCGATCATCAGCAATAGACAGCATATAAATGAAAACAGCATAATGTTACGGAGTAAAATGTTGATCTAGGATGTGGTATATGTCTGTGCAAGCTTTGGAGGTGTTGATGGAAGCGATTTACTGGATTTATGCTTTGATAATCATACTGAATATTATCCAGATGTCGTTTTTGATAAAAAAAATTTGCTCAAAATTATGCATTTTTTATGAAACCTACCTATATTCAAGTGTTGATAAAAAAAAGAATGCTTTAAGCTAGAATAAAACTGATTTGTTTTTTTTTTAAAGTAGAGGCTCTGGTCTTTATTTTGGTGTATTGCATATTCAAATATCCAAACTATACTGGAGGCCATCAAATTTGAACGAAAATCATCAAAATCGCTGGCGGCGGCTGGCAACTTTGTTCAAAAATGCTGGCGGGGAAAGAGTTAAAGATCACAATAAAGATAGATATCAACCAGCAATGTGTGAAATGGACTGAATGACCAAATTAAGTCAGAAACCATGTTAAAGTAACTGTTCTAAATGTAAAAGACAGAGATGGAGAGGCTAAGCTGTGGTTACAGCATCTCACCTTCTCCATATACTGGGAGCAGGTGGACTCCTGCAGCAGATTGGAGGCTTCCTGTTTGTAATACTCGCCGGTTTTTGTCAGGAATGGCCCCTCAAAGACTTCCTGATAAAACTGGGGTAAAGGGGAAATAAAGGGTGTGGCCTCCAAATGAGATGCATGATTGCTGATACACAAACTCTGAGCATGCAAAGAAGTACACAAATGTTTGTGGTCGTTAAGTTTTTGAAAAAGTCTCTAGATTGCATTTATTTGATCAAAAATGCAGTGAATATTATTACAATTTGAAAGGTTCTCTACCTGAGTATATTTTAATATGTAATTTATTTCTATAAATTAGTCAAAGCTGTATTTTCAGCATCATTCCTCCAGTCTTCAGTGTCACATGATCTTCAGAAATCAGTATAATATGCTGATCTGCTGCTCGAGAAACATTTCGGATTATTATCAATGTTGAAAACAGTCGTGCTGCTTCATATTTTTTGTGGAAACCATGATACATTTTTTGTAACATTATAAACCCATTTACTGTGATTGATGTAATGCATCCATGCTGAATTAAAAGTGTTTTGCCTTTCAAAGAAAATAAAAATCTCGCTGACCCCAAACTTTTGAATAGTAGTGCACAAAAAGCCAAGACATTTCAATTTTTCTACAAATGATTGAAGATTCATGTTTGCACAACGAAAAGTGACACATAAAAAAGCATCTAGAAAGAGGCACTCACCTTTAGAGGAAACTTTTTCTTGTACTGTTCAACATGAACAAAGGAGTTGATAACCCCGTGGATTACTTTCTGATTTGGGTCCTCCCCACATCGGTCGCTAAGGAAACAACATCCAAACTGAATACATCTGCAAATGTATCCTCAAACAACGTATACTGGAACATAATCAATAAAACTGAACTTGGGTTCAGGTCATGCTATCATAGCAAGTATTTGTGGCACCAAAGACTCGTGCCGCAGGTAATTAATTCAGGGCTCGACAATAAGGACTGCCAGTGTGAGAGAGCCTCACGACAGCTGACGGATTTGTCGATCGGGCCACTGCTGTGTCGTCATGAAAGTTTATCATTTGCACGTGTTTTTAAGCCTTGCAAATTAAAAAATTCCAGCTACATTCAAGCAAGACAGCTCTATTCAGTACTCACACACACAGAGCTTGAACAGACAAATACATTCAGGAAACCCACAGCACTTGTGTTTAAGGTGTGTGTGTGTGATTTAGAAGAGTTAGAAGACACACACACATCTGGCTTCTGCACCAAACAACCATAAACCCAGGACCAACCCTCACTAACTTTATTAGAGCACAAAGACAGATCCTTAAAATCAGCTCCATAACCTCAGTGTCAACATCCAGCACAGCTGCCAAAGCACATCTAAGTATAAATGTCACCTGGTGTACACAGAAATATCTCTATATGTAAGTTAGCCAAAGCAGATGAGTTTCCATCCGCAACAAACCCACAGATACATGATCTGGAAGAGAGTCACCCCCAAAACTGCAGAGGCCTAACGTTACTTCCACATGCCTAAACGACACACCTGCATGAAAACAGAGGCAGCTGGGTAACCCGAAGCACGCGTGATTAACTAACAGGCGTGTGTCGAGGTAAACTAGCCCGTGTTTACACGCGTTTCTGACAGAAACACAGTGTTGTGGAGCAGAGACGGCGGCTAGCGCCAGTGCTAACGCGAGCGCCGCTGGCTCACACGCACACCTGGGAGTGAGAGAAAGCCCCGCGGAGCTGCGAGTGTCGGGCGGGCGGCGGCTCGGCGGCTCTGGGTGCGCTGTCCGCGGCTCGGTGGGTCACCGCTGTGGGTCTGGAGTCAAGCTGTCAGGGCGCTCGGTTCCTCTCTCTCCCTCTACACCTCTGCCATTGCCTCGCACGGACTGCACCACTGCGTCAGCTGGAGGGGGGGCGCGAGCGCGGTTCAGGATGGATACAGCTATTAGAACCCTAAATCTACGCGAGACGTTTAATATAGGCTTATTTGAAACTTACATCTATATTATGCATGAATGGGTCATGGTGTGCTTAAAATGAGTCATCACAATGCATGGCTGTTTTTAGCGGACTCCCCCTTTTGCTGCTGGTGGTATGAGCGAGAAGTACGGCAGCTGTTTGCGGACATTAATCGCGACGGCGTTGTGGACTCGACATTAGAGACAGAAATTCAGCAATTGTGATTCCTCTGAACGATTCCAGGTCCTTAACGGTTGCATTAACGATCATTATAGTAGTTTTCGCCTCGTGCATTTTGCATGAAAAGCATACTTGAGTAAAAGTGCAGGTACCTTACAGTGACACTGACTCAAGTTGCAACTCAGCAACTCCTAAACCACTTGAGTAGAAGTATCTTAGAGCATCTGATTGTAACAGTGCTTCAGTATTTTACTTGTACTAAATACCAGTGTTGGGGGAAGTTACTTTTAAAAGTAATGCATTACAATATTGCGTTACTCCATTAAAAAAGTAACTAATTGTGTTACTTAGTTACTTTTTATGGAAAGTAATGCGTTACGTTACTTTTGCGTTACTTTTTAAATCTGGACAGGGCTTGCTTGTTTGTTTTTAAAATAAAAAAGTTCTATTTTTGGCAAATATAAAAGCCTTTTCACACCAAAAGTGAAATGAATCAGCCTCAGGCTGAAGGGAAAGTACAGTAGAATGCAGAAGAAGACATTTCGACACACTTCAGCAATAAACAAAGACACACAGATGTTCGTCTAGAGTAATTTGTGCTTATTAGTACGCTTGAACTGCATCATCGAAGCTCAGAAGCAAATAGAATGGGATTAAATAGATAAAGGATATCTGTGTTGTTTAATATTTAATTATTGCAGGTTTGCGTCATATTCTGAGTTGCATTATTTGTATTCATTTTGAGGAATACTGAATCTGTGTTTTGTGTGAGTGTGAGATGAATTAATGCATATTCATATTTATTTTAGAGCTACAGTAACATCTTCTGATTTCTCTCAACATGGGGACAGGAGAGCCGTCAATCAATACATTGGGGGGGGGGGAAAAGTAACTCAGGTATGATCTTGTAAATTAAAAAGTAATGCGTTACTTTACTAGTTACTTGAAAAAAGTAATCTGATTACGTAACTCGCGTTACTTGTAATGCATTACCCCCAACACTGCTAAATACAGGCTCAAAGATGCACTCGTCAAAGAGACGTGGCAGTGAAAAACGAGAAAGTTGATTTGTGAGTAGAGCAATTAAGTTGATTTTCTAAAACCAAAATGAAACTGAACACCTCAAAATTGCACAAAACAAAATAAATACATCAAAAAATCCTTCAAAAAGTCTCTTCAGTGTAACGGATAAATAAAATAATGTTAAGTAGAATTAAAAAGTCAGCGCCTTCTTGCACTGGATGTGCTGGTTCGGGCCTCATAAATAAAACACCTGTGATTCACAAATACTTGCTAAGGAACTCGCATGCACTTAAAGTAGCCTTGTTGACAAGTTTGTGCAAGACGCACAAGATACTGTAGGCTACTTTCAGTGCCCTGTAGTTGGTGATATCACGTCTTTTGTAGCAGAAATGAACTGCTGCAGAAAAAGCTAGGTGCTATGCAAAATGTAATGAGTAACTGCAGCACTCGTTTCAAATGTAGTGGCGTAAAGAGTAAAGGTTGCTAATATCTTTGATACTCAGTAAAACTACAGAGCATCCAAAAAAGACACTCAAGTACAGTAATTAATTACATTTATTCAAATACTTTACACCTCTGCCAGAATTAAATGTAAAAGGTCTTTATAATGGCTTTGCACGGTCAGTTTAAAGGTGGAGAATTAATATGTGGCCTTCTAACCTTAAAAAATTCTGTATTTGTGTGCACTGTTGTTTTGATTCCAGGTTTTTAAATAGTATTGAGATCTATTATATAGCTATATACATATCTATATATGTTAAATAAAAGCTTTAAAGAATTAAATAAAAGGCCTTAAAGCAGCACTATGTAAGTTTTGTCGCTCTAGCGGTTAATAAACAGAACACATCCCGCGGAAGAACATTCTAACCGGAGCTACTTCTCTACGTGTATGTCTATGGCGATTCACGCAGGTATGTGTTACTCCGCAGCGTAACAAATACAAGCACTTATTATAAGTGTACCGTAGTGATTCGGAAGAAGACAAAAACACAGTTTGGAAGATGAATTCACGATGTACTCGCTCATTATATACATTTTGCAAATTTTGAACACAGACAAAGTTACATAGTGCTGCTTTAAAAAGCTTGGTCATCCAAAAAAAAAAAAAAAAAATTGTATACAAATTAAAATCACAGGTGCAAAAAGATGAGTTACTGAATACAGCCGACACATCCCTAAAGTAGAGTACGAGTCTGGGGAATGGAAAGAGTTACAGAGATTTTAATTGTCCTACACAATCTAGGAAGGGCCCCCGAATTTTATAGAAATTATCAGAGGATCTCTTCATTGGGGGTCACTGGGGAACACGTGAAGTCGGGTGTAAGTAGTGCTACTAGGCCCCTGCTGCAGGCTGTGGTGGACAGATACAGCCTGAGCCATGAGGGTCCCCAGTGCATGGCCCCAGATTTTTATATTTGAGATAATCACTGTTAACACCTGCATGAATACACCTTATGATAGGTGCATTTGTGCATATGTCGTCTGGCAATGGACAAACATTTATTCAGTACAATAAGGATATATATCATCATCATTAAGAAAATATATTTTGGTTTTCATTCGAAACTTAATAGTAACTATAAATAATTTACACATCAACTGAAAAAGGTATAAGCGGAAGCCATCAAATGATCTGTAAGCATGTTAAAGATCAGAGATGTCCTTGTAAACTAATTGTATTAAACTCAGAATGAAGAAATGTTTTTCTTTGCATTTTTACAAGTTATTGAACCATTTACACTGATGCCAAACTATGAGATCTCTGAGAAAAGCTTCCTCTTCTGGACAACATATGCCAGTCATTCATGTTGATATAAACAGCTGATCATTTTAAAAAGTGCTGGTTTTCATGTGTACCGAGTTTTATGAAGTTTGGACATATTAGTCATTCCAGGCCACATCCCAAAATATATATCAGCCCATATCTGGCAGACAACTGAATGAATCGGACAGCATATGCCAGTCATTCATGTTGATATAAACAGCTGATCATTTAAAAAAGTGCTGGTTTTCATGTAACCGAGTTTTATGAAGTTTGGACATATTAGTCATTCCAGGCCACATCCCAAAATATATATCAGCCCATATCTGGCAGACAACTGAATGAATCTAAATTCTTCTGATAGCTTTTTCTTAAAGGTGTTTAAAGGCATGCACATCTATGGGATATGCTGGACCAACAAAAACTTGCAAGACTTTGAGGATCTGCTGCTGATGTCTTAGTGTCAGATACCATGGGACACGCTGGTCTTGTGGAGACCATGCTTTCGACACATCAGAGCTGTGGTGGACCTACATGATATTAGGCAGGTGGGTTTAATGTTGTGGCGGATCAATGTATGTACAGTGTTAGCTGTGTTATTATCATGTTACAACTGGAGATTTCACAGACACCGGATATCAAGCTTAAGGTGTGTCATTTGTGATGTCGAGTCACACACGGGGAGGAACTGGACCAAGGTTTTTCATTTATGCATCTCTACTCATCTTACTGATATTCTATATGTTTACACAGGGTTGCCAACTTTTAAGTTCAGCTTGGAGTGGGGTGGGGGGTTGGTGTTTCGATCTCGATTCAATATCAATTAATGTGTATATACTGTAAATATAAGGGGATAAAAATATTTTGTTGAATGCCTTTTTAGCACCATTTTAAACTTGCTTTAAATTCAGTATTTGCTTGCATTCATTGTGTGTAATTATGCAAGTATCAAAAGACGAAAAAGGGTAAAAAAAAAAGGATAAAAAAGGATGCAAGTTATTCACTTTTTTAATTTCTCATTTAAAAATCTAGTGTTTAATCATGTCTAAATATGTATTCAAATGAAGAACTTAAAAATAAGTAAGCAGGTATGACCTGCAATATTCTAGATATATTTAGTAAAAACCCATACAGGTACCTAGTGGGTAAACGCATTACAAATTAAAATGATTTTTTTTTCTGACCACAAAATGACTCTAATTTGCCTCTTTGCATTGGAATTTAAAACTCTTTTTTTCTATTTTAACTTTACGTACTACACTCATTGAAATATAAGTAATAGAAATATTTGAAAAAAATATTATAAGTCATTAATGTACCATAATTTGTGCACAAATAGTATTTAGTACCAAAATATCTCCTCAAAATATTATTGGACTAAAATATAGCTTAAATAAAATAACTTAAATAAACACTTATTTAACTGAAAAATAGTTCAGCTGTATGGTCACATTATCAGTAAGCCATACCTGAGAGTTAAGAAAACCATATTAATGCTGCCTCTCCATCACTCTCCAAAATAAAATTACACTGTAAATGTCATCGACGTAAATCAATGCATAATATGCTGTAATGTTTACCAAAAATTGCTGCAAATACCTGTATAATGAAGCGGTCGTCTATTCTACTTAAACCCATTCAAATGTATTGGCAACGCTGGTTTGTGTGGAGAGCTCCATGAACCACGAGATCAAAGCTTGTCGCAACTCTGTTTTTTTCATGGCTCTGGCTTTAACTGAAGAGTTACATTTTATGATTTATGCCACATTAAAGGCACAATATGTGATTTTTAAAAATTTAAATATCCAAAAACTACGCACGTACGCACATACCCACGACCGGAAGAAGCGGAAGCGGTCGACTGTGGCATAATAAAAGCTCCGCTGCTTTACCCCACATACGCACGACCGGAAGCAGCGGAAGCGCTCGACTGTGGCATTATAAAAGCTCCGCTGCTTTACCCCACATACGCACGACCGGAAGCAGCGGAAGCGCTCGACTGTGGCATTATAAAAGCTCCGCTGCTTTACCCCACATACGCACGACCGGAAGCAGCGGAAGCGCTCGACTGTGGCATTATAAAAGCTCCGCTGCTTTACCCCACATACGCACGACCGGAAGGAGTGGAAGCGCTCGACTGTGGCATAATAAAAGCTCCGCTGCTTTTGAGCCGTGTGTCACGCTCGTTCAGCACCTCATTTCGCTTCGACAGCTTTCAACCTCACCCTGCTTCATACTACTACATTAATAAATCATTAGCTCATCCATGAACATGATTTCTGCCCGAGTCCCATCGGATTGCATAGGCTGTGGGGAGGAAGACCACAACTCCCATGATTCCACACTCAGTCACGGTGTCATCAAACTATGCCTTTGTCTCTTTTTTTATTTTGAATACGCGCCCTCTAGCAGCGAAAATTACATATTGTGCCTTTAAGTGCATCAAAACTGTATTTATTGTTTGAATTTAGTATTAAAACTTCCCGAATTTGAAAGCTGAGCGTGAGACGGAGCCTGAAAGCGTGAGTTGGCAACCCTGGTTTACATCAAGGCCCTAATCTTAAGATCACAGTCAGCATGCCAGTGCACCAGAACACAATCAATGTCAATGTAAATTATTGTAGAAGAAGCTATTTATTTTCTCAGAAGGTGAGTCCTGTGTCCTCAAAACATATGAATGCCGTTCTATTAGACACAACAACATATCAAATGGTCCTGCAAACAAAATCAGAGAAATTTTTTTTTTCAGAATAATGAAAAACTTTTCTGAGACAATTTAAAAAATGACTTCTTAGTGTAACCACGGGTGTAGTTCATCATATAAACATTACACTAACGTTTGAAAAACATTAAGTGTCACAATACTTTATCATCATTTCGAATGATGGCTTTATCATATTAGCCTTCCAAAAATGCTAAAATGTTTTGCTTGAAAATTAGCTGTAGGCTATAACCTTTCTTTATGTTTGATTCATTTGTTATAATATGTAACAACATTTAGGACCAAACATTTTTTATGTTCGTGTCTAAGTACTTTTTAGACCTCCTTTATGTTTGTCGCAAGATCAAAGGAAAGTAAACGTATTGTAAAAAAAATATTTAACTGTTTTTGCGATTGACCTTTATTTTGAAAAGATTGACCTTTATTTTGAAAAGATTACGTCTCCAGTCATTTCCGGGTTGTCAGTCCGTGTGGACGTGCATGATAATTGTGTGATGAGACACAGGAAAGGTGAGGCTTGTCACTACTTTACATCTGTGTCTCAGTCTTGTGGCGCAGCTAATGTTTATTTCTCTGTTTCATCTGCCTGAGTAACAGCTAATGCACCTTTCACTGTGTGTTCACATGTAACTAAATCGAGATGCAACCAAAGGAGGTGTGTTCAGTCTCCAGCTGTGATTTTGTTATCATATAGATATTCAGACATGTGCATATGTCATAGTATATATAATAATTGCAACTAGATAGAGATTGTTTAGAGCATTTCCATATCTTTGATCATGCACCATGGTATGCAAATACCACGTGATAATGGTAGTAATTTCATGTCATAGTGTTTTATACCATTGCTGTACAGCCATAGTACTTTTTATAAAAAATACTAAAATGTATTTTTCCAGTAAGTCATGGATCTGAGCGTGAAGTCATCCAGTGACCCATCAGCTGCCCATAGCACTGAAGCACAGGAGTCTGATCCGGGTGAGAATGCAGGGTTTATGTGTATTATAAGTATGTGAACCTAGAGATGTTGATACTGTGCCACCTTGACTTTGATTTCAGTCGGATAACCTAGAGAGTAATAACTGGATTCCTGTTTTATTATACTTTACTATGCAATCAGAAACATTCTTGTTTAGGCAGCATTTATTCTGTAAAATATTTACTTTCTGTTAAGTTTCATTTTTTTGTTTGTAGAATAAAATAAGTTGTGATTATCAAAATTATTATTAGCATTAATTATATGTTCAATAGGTTTAAATAGTTTCTTTTAGAACAGTATGTTTCTTTTAACATTAACACAATGGTTCTCAACCTTTTTGACTCCAAGGCACAACAATATTCAAAGGCCTCTTAACCTTTCCAGTCGTCTGTGATAAAGGATTAAGGATTTTCACCCCTTATTTACACTGCACTCTAGTCAGTGCTTATGTGTTTATACCACGTTTCAGAAGCGTCCCAGAAGGCTAAAGATAGGTGCTTAGTCTATTTTTGACGGATGTTGTGTCCAAGCTGCACAGTTCAAATACAAAATAAACACCCTGTGCTGACTAAAACACAGCTACAAAGTATGCTACAGCACAACAAAGGAGGACACCGCAATAAACACAACAATAAACACGATTAAACCGAACAAAACATAACCATTTAGCCTACTTAACCAGTGTAGAACCTCAAAAATGAAGAAAAAAACACAAAAAATCATGAAAACTGTCAGACAGGCCAATCTTGTGGCCTCGTGAATCCAGTTGCTTCGCTTCTGAAACGCTCCTGGTGTGAGTTGGCACCGCATGGAGGACAAATTGTTTGGTTTGTTGTTATCAATTTCATACGTCATCATTAAAAATCCTGTTGATTCACTTTTTTTAACAGAACATTTGAGTGTTGCTGAAAGGAATCGCTTTACCTGTCCGTACTGTGGAAAAATATTCGGACGACATCAAGATATGGAGCAACATAAACGCATTCACACTGGAGAGAGACCGTTCCGCTGCACCGTGTGCAACAAAAGCTTCAGGCAGCGTTCGGTGTTGATCGTGCATCGGAAAATTCACACCGGAGAAAAGCCTTTCGAATGTTTCATATGCTTCCGACGGTTTTATGGTGCAGGAGATCTGAAGACACACATGGGAACTCACACTGGAGTGAGACCCCACAGTTGTCCTTTGTGCTCCAAAAGCTTCCCTCGGCCCAGCAGCCTGCAAGCACACATGCAGTCCCATCTGAACAAGCTGCAGGAAGGTGATGCTGTGACCGCCGGAGCTGATGTGCTTACTCCTGAGGAGGAGGAGGACCAGGGTGAGCCAGAGGACGTGGAAGGAGCCTGCGGTGTTTCTGCTTCATCGCAGCTATCAGCAGTGTTTTCTGGAAGCCTTGGAGCTTCTGAAGACAGTATGATCTCTAGTTGTTTATTTAGGGTTAGGTTATGTAGACACATAGTCACTTATGTCTAAATATTGCATAAATGCATGTAGCATGTCTATAACAAGCCTAAGTTGCTTAATATCGTCTTAATATGTTTTCAGAAATGAGCACAGGGGAGCGTCTATCAGAGTCTGAGACGAGATTCAGTCCATCAGTGAATCTTGACCTTGATGCTGATCAGAGTTCCAGCTCAGAGCTGACAGATCATCAAAAGCCATATCATTGTGTCATATGCAACAAAACCTTCTCTCTCGCCCTCAAATATGATGATCCCCTGCGAGGGACCCCTTCCTAAAATGTGACCCTGGCGCACAAAAGCAGTGTTAAGTCGCTGGGGTATATTTGTAGCAATAGCCAACAATACATTGTATGGGTCAAAATTATAGATTTTTCTTTTATGCCAAAAATCATTAGGATATTAAGTAAAGATCATGTTCCATGAAGATATTTTGTAAATTTCCTACCGTAAATATATTAAAACGTAATTTTTGATTAGTAATATGCATTGCTAAGAACTTCATTTGAACAACTTTAAAGATGATTTTCTCAATATTTAGATTTTTTTGCACCCTCAGATTCCAGATTTTCAAATAGTTGTGCCAAATATTGTCCTAACCTAACAAACCCTACATCAATGGAAAGCTTATTTATTCAGATTTCAGATGATGTATAAATCTCAATTTCGAGAAATTGACCCTTATGACTGGTTTTGTGGTCCAGGGTCACAAATAAAAAGGCAGCATTTATTCTGTAAAATATTTACTTTCTGTTAAGTTTCATTTTTTTGTTTGTAGAATAAAATAAGTTGTGATTATCAAAATTATTATTAGCATTAATTATATGTTCAATAGGTTTAAATAGTTTCTTTTAGAACAGTATGTTTCTTTTAACATTAACACAATGGTTCTCAACCTTTTTGACTCCAAGGCACAACAATATTCAAAGGCCTCTTAACCTTTCCAGTCGTCTGTGATAAAGGATTAAGGATTTTCACCCCTTATTTACACTGCACTCTAGTCAGTGCTTATGTGTTTATACCACGTTTCAGAAGCGTCCCAGAAGGCTAAAGATAGGTGCTTAGTCTATTTTTGACGGATGTTGTGTCCAAGCTGCACAGTTCAAATACAAAATAAACACCCTGTGCTGACTAAAACACAGCTACAAAGTATGCTACAGCACAACAAAGGAGGACACCGCAATAAACACAACAATAAACACGATTAAACCGAACAAAACATAACCATTTAGCCTACTTAACCAGTGTAGAACCTCAAAAATGAAGAAAAAAACACAAAAAATCATGAAAACTGTCAGACAGGCCAATCTTGTGGCCTCGTGAATCCAGTTGCTTCGCTTCTGAAACGCTCCTGGTGTGAGTTGGCACCGCATGGAGGACAAATTGTTTGGTTTGTTGTTATCAATTTCATACGTCATCATTAAAAATCCTGTTGATTCACTTTTTTTAACAGAACATTTGAGTGTTGCTGAAAGGAATCGCTTTACCTGTCCGTACTGTGGAAAAATATTCGGACGACATCAAGATATGGAGCAACATAAACGCATTCACACTGGAGAGAGACCGTTCCGCTGCACCGTGTGCAACAAAAGCTTCAGGCAGCGTTCGGTGTTGATCGTGCATCGGAAAATTCACACCGGAGAAAAGCCTTTCGAATGTTTCATATGCTTCCGACGGTTTTATGGTGCAGGAGATCTGAAGACACACATGGGAACTCACACTGGAGTGAGACCCCACAGTTGTCCTTTGTGCTCCAAAAGCTTCCCTCGGCCCAGCAGCCTGCAAGCACACATGCAGTCCCATCTGAACAAGCTGCAGGAAGGTGATGCTGTGACCGCCGGAGCTGATGTGCTTACTCCTGAGGAGGAGGAGGACCAGGGTGAGCCAGAGGACGTGGAAGGAGCCAGAGGACGTGTTTCTGCTTCATCGCAGCTATCAGCAGTGTTTTCTGGAAGCCTTGGAGCTTCTGAAGACAGTATGATCTCTAGTTGTTTATTTAGGGTTAGGTTATGTAGACACATAGTCACTTATGTCTAAATATTGCATAAATGCATGTAGCATGTCTATAACAAGCCTAAGTTGCTTAATATCGTCTTAATATGTTTTCAGAAATGAGCACAGGGGAGCGTCTATCAGAGTCTGAGACGAGATTCAGTCCATCAGTGAATCTTGACCTTGATGCTGATCAGAGTTCCAGCTCAGAGCTGACAGATCATCAAAAGCCATATCATTGTGTCATATGCAACAAAACCTTCTCTCTCGCAATTTCCCTGAAAAGACATCAACTTATATTTCATCCAGGTAGGATGGAACTGCATGCACTAATTGCAATATTGGTATTTATTTTCTCAAATGAAAATATACAATTGTATTGTTCAACCTTAGAGTTCACCCTCATGTTGTTCCAAACCTGTGCAAATTTCATTCTTCTGCACAAAAGAAGATATTTTGAAGAATGTGGGTAACCAAACTGTTGCTGGTCCCCACTGACTTCCATAGTATTTTTTTTCTCCATACTATGGAAGTCAATGGGGACCAGAAACAGTTTGGTTACCAAAATGTAATGTTGGGAAGGTACCCAGTGGGAACCTTGATATCAATTTGACGTCAAATATTAGTCAATTTTGATGTCTTTTCAACAACAATTACCCAGTGAGTAACAGGGTATATGCTGATATTTCTACAATACGGAGTCATTCATTTCATTACTAAAATAACTATTAACAGGGTTGACATTTTAATAATTTGATGATAAATAGGCAAACAAACTTGTCCTTGGCACTAAAAGTGTATATTAGAAACAGAATTTAATGTTGGTAACGCTTAGAATATGCCCTTTTCAAACATTTGTTTACTATACAAAATCCTGGTAACAGAGTTGATTTTTAATAATTAATGAATAGGCAAAGATAATTGTCTTTGGAGAGTTCAGCTCCTGAAAACAAAGTATTTGTACAGAATTTTGTAAAATACTACACTATTGTAACAGGGATGAGGTGCTGATGGTAATAGGACCGACAGCCATTTCTTAATCTTTTCTACCAATATCCACTTCTCAGTAATTGTCTACTATACAAAGTCCTGGTAACAGGGTTGACCTTTTAATAATTGATGAAGACTATTTGTCTTTGGAGAGTACACTTTCTGAAAGGATAGTTTTACTACTGAACTGTTTTTCTGTAATGCTACAGTATGGTAACGGGGGTGAGTGATGATGGTAACAGGACTGACAGCCATTTATTTTTCTTTACACTAAAAGTGTTTATTAGAAAGAGGATTTAATGATGGTATTTCTGCGAATATTCACTTTTCAGTAATCATTTGTTTACTACACAAAATCCTCATAGCAGGGTTCACTTTTTAATAGTTGAAGAACATTTGTCTTTGGAAAATTCACTTCCTGAAAGGATAAAGTAGTTTTACAGAATTTTTTCAATACTACAATATTGTAACAGGGTGAGATATGATTGATAGCCATTTCTTGGCACTAAAAATGTTTATTAGAAAGAGCATGTAATGCCGATATTTCTAACAATATCCTCTCAAATAGTCATTTGTTTACTATACAAAATCCTGGTAACAGGGTTGATTTTTTTTTTTTAATAATTGATGAAGAAAAATAATTGCTTTCTGTAATACTACAGTATTGTAACGGGTTGGTGATGATGGTAACAGGGTTGATGCATAACCTGGAGTTTCAGTTATGTTCATTTAACTTTTATTTGATCGTGGTTTTGTTAATATGGATTCTTCTTTGTAATTTTAACAGATCAGCATGTCGACAAAGAGGGGAAGTGCTTCCCCTGCTCTTATTGCGGGAGGAAGTTTGGTCGACGCCAAGGCTTGTTACAGCACGAGCGAATTCACACAGGTGAAAGGCCCTTCAACTGTCCCACCTGTAACAAAAGCTTTCGTCAGCGATCGGCTCTAGTTGTTCATATTAAAACGCACACAGGAGAGAGGTCATTCCTGTGCTTTGTGTGCAGTAAAAGCTTTTATACCCCAGGAGACTTGAAGAAACATCTGGAAATTCACACAGGAGTGAGGCCACACAACTGCCCTGTATGCTTCAAGGGGTTCGGGCGTCCCAGTTTCCTCAGAGCTCATATGCGCATCCATGAGAGTAAGTTTACTTATCTTTCTTTTTAATGATTAACAATTTAATTTTACAGATTATTTTCTCTTTGATTTCCAGACGTTTCCACAAAGAAGCAAAGTGGAACAGAGAAACCTACAGGTGGTCCGAAAGTCGATGTGCAGGAGAAGCCATTTGAATGCGTTCACTGTGGGAAGAGATTCAGTCAACATTGTATGTTAAAAATTCACCAGCGGATTCACACAGGAGAGAGACCTTACAAGTGCTCTCAGTGTGGCCTGGGTTTTCGCTGGAGGAGAAACCTGATTGCCCACCAGAGCGGCCACCCGGGCGAAAACCCTCTCCAGTGTTCAATGTGTGATGAAACATTTGTTTCTGAAGCAAGTCTGAAAAAACATCAAGATGCGTTTCATTCAGGTAAGAAATTATGAGATGGCTAGGTATCTGAAGCATGTATACCATGAAAAAGCGTTGTTTTCACATTTTAATGATTTGAATTTCATTACAAATTTTATATATATAATAATATTATTATTATTATTTTAATTTTTTTCTGTCAAGTTGAGGCCAGATAAAAATAGAATGAATGCCTGATGATACATTTTTGATTGAAGTAACCGTTTTCTTTAGTAGATAATTGGTTTCTCTTTGATTTGATCAACGTAAAAATAAAATAAAATGCAGACTATAATTCATGTATTTCCATTTAGGGTTTCCTTAATGTATTCCATCACAAGCAATTTCAAAATAAATGTTTTGACAATTTTTGTGACCCTGGACCACAAAACCAGTCTTAAGTGTCAATTTTTCGAAATTGAGATTTATACATCATCATTTCCATTGATGTATGGTTTGTTAGGATAGGACAATATTTGGCTGAGATACAACTATTTGAAAATCTGGAGTCTGAGGGTGCAAAAAAATCCAAATATTGAGAAAATCATCTTTAAAGTTGTCCAAATGAAGTTCTTAGCAATGCATATTACTAATCAAACATGACGTTTTTATATATTTATGGTAGGAAATTTACAAAATATCTTCATGGAGCATGATCTTTACTTAATATCAGAATGATTTTTGGCATAAAAGAAAAATCTATAATTTTGACCCATACAGTGTATTTTTGGCTATTGCTTAACTTAAGGCTGGTTTTGTGCTCCAGGGTCACATATGTGGTATCAGTGGTCGTATTTATTTAATTTCATAAAAATATAAATGATTTTATATTAAATATATTATTTTATATAATTTTTTATTTGATTTAATCATTAAATTATTAATTCATATTTATAATTAATAATATTTTATTTTATATTGATCATTTCAGGGGACTCACATACATGCAGTTTGTGTTTGAAGACATTTACTCAAGCAGCTGGCCTCAGGAAACATGTGCGGTATGTTCACGAAGGAGAGCGACCGCACAAATGCTCTGAGTGCGGGAGAGGATTCGTCAAACTTTCCGACCTCGAGCGTCACCAGCGCCGCCATCATTACGACCGGGGCGACGAACTCTTTCAGTGCTCGCAGTGTGAGCGAAGCTTCAGTCAACCCAGCAGTCTGGTTCTGCACCGACGGACACACACCGAAGAAAAGCACGAGTGCCCTCAGTGCGATAAGATTTTCAGCCAGGCGGGACACCTGAAGGTTCACCTGCGCACTCACACCAAAGAGAATAAACCCAAATTCGAGTGCCCTGAATGTGGCAAGAGTTTTGGCCAAGCTAAAGATTTGGTAGTTCACCAGAGGGTTCACACCGGAGAAAAGCCGTACCAGTGCCCTCAGTGCAAGAAGAGCTATCGGCAGTTTGCGCATTTGTCCGTACATCTGCGAAGTCACACGGGGGAGAAGCCGTATCAGTGCCCCATATGTCTCAAATTCTTCGCTCATTCATCATCCATGAAAAAACACCTGCGTGTAATGCATGCAGGTACGGGATAGTTCATCCAGATATGAAAGTTCCATCCATTCGACTTTCTGTTTTCCGTCTAATTTAAGATTAATGTTTTACAGAGGGAAAAGATTTACCCGTTGTGAAGGTCACTGTTGGCGTCGGCCCATCTAACACAACTGTAGAAGTCAAGCAAGAACCCGAGTCTGGTGATGAATACGGTGGGTATGACTGAGGTTATTTGTGTTAAATGTTCAAAAAGATATAATGTATTTTGAAGCCTTTTCTTACATCTTGAATAGGTGAGGGAGAATGTAGCTACCAGCTTCTCCTTCAAAGCCAAAGAAATGTGTCATCGTAAAGATGGCACAAACTTCTGTGTATTGCAAGAAAAGTCACGCTTTTCAGCCTTTATATTTCCATATAAACATGTTATTGTTGTATTTATTGGGTACAAGAATAGTCTTTTTGTATTTGTCTATAAACAGGACTGACATTACTCTGCATGATCTATTGCTTCATTTCAATAAAGTTTTCCTTTGTCCTTTGGAAATAAATGCTACATCATGCACCTACGAATATCCACTTTTCAAATATCATTTGTGTACTATACAAAATCCTGGTAACAGGGTTGACTTTTTTAAATGATGATGAAGAATATTTGTATTTGGAGAGTTCACTTCCTGAAAGGATAAAGTAGTTTTTTTTAAATAGTATTACAGTATGGTAACAGGGGTGAGTGATGATGGTAACAGGGTTGATGCATAACCAGTTGCAATGATTGCAACTGGCATGTGACAATTTGCACTCACATTCACAATATGAAAAAATTAAAAACTAAAATTAAATTGCATGTGGAAATCTTCACCTTCATAGACAATAACACCAACAGAACACGTCAAATTAATTATTGCTTCTTGGGTCACACTTCTCTAGTAAGTTTCGTCTGTGTGTGAAGATGCTGCACAACGCAAATTTCCCCTGCTTCCTTTGCGCGCGGACTGGAATTGGGACCCGCTGGGCTACATCATGTGTCATTCCCCGGTGAGAAAACTTTATAGTACAGTTAGTAAAAGTACTACAATACCAGGAAGGAAGAATGGGTTGTTGATGTTTGTCTGCACAGCGTGCGTGAACGCGCTGATGACGTATCCTGTCTGCGCGAACCGGGTGCACAGCGGTATACAAATACATATGTTGACAGGCAGGTAGGAAAGCCAATTAAAACGCTCGGACCGAGCATTTTGATTGGATGAACATTTGGTCCTACGCCTTCCACAGAATATATAAATACAGATAAATACATTTAGACCACTTAACTTATTGATTGCTATCGGGATGTGAAGAGACTTTCAACCAGCATAACAAAAAATGTTTCTGAAGACAATCACCTATTGCACCTTTAAATATTTAAGCTCCCCGCTGCATTTTAATACATTTTACGGTTTTGATTGAATCCATTCCACAGATTTTCCCCCCTAAAGTCAGTGTGGAAAATGTCAAATCTGCAGATCCTTGATCTGCTTAGAAGCCATGCAAATATACGGCCACCAAGTAATTTCGCCAATATTATGTTGTTACTTAAACCACCAAAGTTTTTGTTATCATTTTATTTCTTGCATACGTGACATTTCATAATAGATGTAAATTAAATGGCTTAAATGTTTAGTCTGAAGAAGCTATTATTTTGAAACTTTTTTTTTTCTAAATTGTCTGCCTGTTTTTATTCAGGGTTATGTACATAATGGTGCAGTTACAGCATCTTCCAGCAGGGGCGAAACACTAAAGCCAACCAACCAATCCTTAACCCCCAAGCTGACTGTTGGTGCAGATTCAACATCACACAAAATATCTGGGAACAGTCCTAATATAAAATATACATACTCGCATACTACTCATACCATTTCAGCCAAGATATGGTAAAATTGTGTATTATGCAGTTCCGAAATCAGCTCGTGTCTGAATATGCCTACCCCACTACTATACAGTATGTGAAAAACAATACAACTGAAATATCCAAATTCACAGTATTTATAAAACACCCAAATGAACTACAACTTTTACAGGGATTCTGAAGTGTATATTCAATGGAAGTTCGCTCCTCATCAAATGTAATACCTACAGACAGTATGTGACTTTGGACACACCTAGTGTCAACATCAGTTGATAAAAATGTATAGACCTTCACTGCTTGTCAAAAACATTCCCAAGCCCATTATAATCGCAGACTGCAGAGCACAAACTTGTGCATTAAAATGGCAGATTGCCTTTGGGAGGAAAGAAGAAAAAAATCCTGCCACACTTTTCCTTTAATATATCTTTATTGCTTGAATAGTTTTGATACAGAACAGCTTACATTTCTGATTCTGAAGCACTCATTCGAAGAAGAAGAGTAGTGTACCAAAAACGTTCTGGTGATTCTGGTTCCATTCAAGTCCAGTAGAATTATTTTGGGGGATGTAGCAGCGACACAAAGCTCCCTTTTACATCAGTCAGCATGTCAAACAGTGATAGGTCTCCATTTTCCCAAAGAGACGAAGGATTTAAAAAAACGGGGGAAAGGGAAAACATATTTTTAAGAAAACCCATGAGTGGAATGTGGATTTGATAACTCCACCCTATTCATTTGAATTCACAGTCAAGTGCTAAAAAAGTAGTGATTGACGGTTAAACATATTTAGAAATCATAGGTGAAGAGAAATTTTTGATGCAAGAAAAATTATGATTTGAGAAAGCCTTTTGTATGAACCCTGAGAGTGAGACAGAGCGGGGCTGGCAGGTGAGGCAAAAACTGAAAAAAACAACAACTGGACAACATAAAAGGTCATCATGCAAAACTACCCTACAGATTCACCCATAGCAGAATAACAGTAAACTTCACAGTTGTACACGCAAACGAATTTATCAATGAAAACAAATTTGATCTGTCAAACTGAAATAATCACCATCATAATAATATAATAAACATAACAGAAACAGACCACACATTCTAAAAAATGCATACAAAGATCTACATAAAGCTTTCAGATCAAAAGTGATTATCATCATCATCATCAAAGACCCAGATCAAAGCTAGGATGCTAAGTATTGAATTTGAATCATTTTTTATGCAGCATAATTGTGTTAATACATGGCTTCTCCACATTTACTTCTTCACCCACACTGGGTCATAATAAATACATTAAAAACAGTCTGTGAGCATTCTTACCAGGAAACCAATCACTTCTGCACACAACCAACACAAAACACACTCACATGAACCCAGCAAAAGGCATCGGGAGAAGCAGAAGTCCCGAGAAAGCGATTGCAATTGCATTCAAGTTCATCCAATACTACAAGTCTCGTGCCGGAGCAGAGATGTTAGATCTTCACCACTAGGGGCGCACACAACCTGATATCCGATCAGGCGCAAACTTTCACCTTCCCTACTATTCCTTTTCATTTCTTTGCTTTGCTGATCAACAGGCATCCGTTTGGTAGACGGCTGCTTCAGGAAATCAGGAGACCTATATTCGAAGATGCTTACCAGTCCACATAATTTCAAACAGTCTTCATGCCCTTTGAGGTTTGCTTTGTTTGTGTCTGAGGTTTCTTTACAACACGAGTTCATAAAACTGAGAGGTCAAAGAGATCCAACACTACAAAAGAGTGTGTGATTGACATGGGGTCCTCCTAGTTGAGGAGCGCATCCTGACAGGAGGCAGCAGGGCGACAGGGTTCAAGTACACCATGAATTCTAGTTCGTGAGCCCGGCAGAAAGTGAGACACCTGCCTAACGCCAAGACGAAAGAGTAAGGCTTAGAAATCGATGTTTTTGGAAGACGGTAACACTGGACACAGTTACACATTTCATCAAGTACATCAGATTCATGGGCTTCCTGTTATTCCTTATTGTGTTTGCTTTTTTTTATTTTTGTATTCTTAAGTAGCGGAGACGGGGCTTGAGGGACAGTAATTCAAGAGGCCTTAAGTTAAAAACATTGCCTTCCCTCATTAAAAACCATCTTTTTGTGCCAGAACGTTAATGCTAACTAAAGACATTGACACAATCAGCACAGCTGGACATTCATCACCTGTCTTGAGCAAACATTGCCCATATACTTTACGCAACAGCTGCTGAGCATCTTTCCGAGGATGACCTTCGGATGTTTTGTTTGGCTGTTTCCCCAAACCATCTTTAGTCGACACAGCACCCAGAACAACAGATCTCTGTGATAAAACAATTACTCTGGAAGCCTCCGTCATTAAAGGAATTACACAAAAGGGGAAACTACTGGCAAGTTAAAGAGGACAAACAGCAACGAAGAAACCCTATGGTGCAGAAGTCGTCTTTGCGTATTCCAGTTATGCACTTGGGTGCAAGCCTCTTATTAAAAACATGTCCTCTTGGTAATCAAGGGACTTGCTTTTCATAAGACAGATTGCACTGTCGCTGAACTCTTCAATACGATATGCAAATTTGTTCATATATTGCTTAAAGTAGTTCTCTCAGGATAACACAAAAAAAATCATAATGATCATTGTAAAATACTATAAAAATCAACTTTAGATCATGATAAATGCTGATAAAGATATAGCAAAAAAGTAGAAAGGCACTTGGAAACAGTCATTGCTTCTTTTTTCTCATTGCAATGTACTTTTGTTATATGGCACTGCTTCTTGTTGCAGCACGTTTCACCACAAGATAAGAAACTAGGAAAGAGTCGCTCTTCAATCCACGCCAAGCAGTGGCGGCTCAGGGGTGGGCAAAATGTGCTCAGTAGTGGGCTTGGTGTGGATCTCCAGTAAACCTTGGATGAATCCCTCCGACGGCTCTAAGTCGGATACGGTGAGTGAATCCGATGCTTGTTTCTGTACTGGCGGTTCTTTGGGTGTCTCTGTTGCTGATACAGGTCCTGTCTTGGAGGTTAGTTTAAACACAACTGGTACAGAGGGTACACAATCCTCCTCTTTCTCCAGTGAGGTTGGCTCCCCCTTCACAGTGTACATTAATTCGCTTTCGTTCTCAGAGGGTGGATATCATCATCATCATCAAAGACCCAGATCAAAGCTAGGATGCTAAGTATTGAATTTGAATCATTTTTTATGCAGCATAATTGTGTTAATACATGGCTTCTCCACATTTACTTCTTCACCCACACTGGGTCATAATAAATACATTAAAAACAGTCTGTGAGCATTCTTACCAGGAAACCAATCACTTCTGCACACAAAACACACTCACATGAACCCAGCAAAAGGCATCGGGAGAAGCAGAAGTCCCGAGAAAGCGATTGCAATTGCATTCAAGTTCATCCAATACTACAAGTCTCGTGCCGGAGCAGAGATGTTAGATCTTCACCACTAGGGGCGCACACAACCTGATATCCGATCAGGCGCAAACTTTCACCTTCCCTACTATTCCTTTTCATTTCTTTGCTTTGCTGATCAACAGGCATCCGTTTGGTAGACGGCTGCTTCAGGAAATCAGGAGACCTATATTCGAAGATGCTTACCAGTCCACATAATTTCAAACAGTCTTCATGCCCTTTGAGGTTTGCTTTGTTTGTGTCTGAGGTTTCTTTACAACACGAGTTCATAAAACTGAGAGGTCAAAGAGATCCAACACTACAAAAGAGCGTGTGATTGACATGGGGTCCTCCTAGTTGAGGAGCGCATCCTGACAGGAGGCAGCAGGGCGACAGGGTTCAAGTACACCATGAATTCTAGTTCGTGAGCCCGGCAGAAAGTGAGACACCTGCCTAACGCCAAGACGAAAGAGTAAGGCTTAGAAATCGATGTTTTTGGAAGACGGTAACACTGGACACAGTTACACATTTCATCAAGTACATCAGATTCATGGGCTTCCTGTTATTCCTTATTGTGTTTGCTTTTTTTATTTTTGTGTTCTTAAGTAGCGGAGACAGGGCTTGAGGGACAGTAATTCAAGAGCCCTTAAGTTAAAAACATTGCCTTCCCTCATTAAAAACCATCTTTTTGTGCCAGAACGTTAATGCTAACTAAAGACATTGACACAATCAGCACAGCTGGACATTCATCACCTGTCTTGAGCAAACATTGCCCATATACTTTACGCAACAGCTGCTGAGCATCTTTCCGAGGATGACCTTCGGATGTTTTGTTTGGCTGTTTCCCCAAACCATCTTTAGTCGACACAGCACCCAGAACAACAGATCTCTGTGATAAAACAATTACTCTGGAAGCCTCCGTCATTAAAGGAATTACACAAAAGGGGAAACTACTGGCAAGTTAAAGAGGACAAACAGCAACGAAGAAACCCTATGGTGCAGAAGTCGTCTTTGCGTATTCCAGTTATGCACTTGGGTGCAAGCCTCTTATTAAAAACATGTCCTCTTGGTAATCAAGGGACTTGCTTTTCATAAGACAGATTGCACTGTCGCTGAACTCTTCAATACGATATGCAAATTTGTTCATATATTGCTTAAAGTAGTTCTCTCAGGATAACACAAAAAAAATCATAATGATCATTGTAAAATACTATAAAAATCAACTTTAGATCATGATAAATGCTGATAAAGATATAGCAAAAAAGTAGAAAGGCACTTGGAAACAGTCATTGCTTCTTTTTTCTCATTGCAATGTACTTTTGTTATATGGCACTGCTTCTTGTTGCAGCACGTTTCACCACAAGATAAGAAACTAGGAAAGAGTCGCTCTTCAATCCACGCCAAGCAGTGGCGGCTCAGGGGTGGGCAAAATGTGCTCAGTAGTGGGCTTGGTGTGGATCTCCAGTAAACCTTGGATGAATCCCTCCGACGGCTCTAAGTCGGATACGGTGAGTGAATCCGATGCTTGTTTCTGTACTGGCGGTTCTTTGGGTGTCTCTGTTGCTGATACAGGTCCTGTCTTGGAGGTTAGTTTAAACACAACTGGTACAGAGGGTACACAATCCTCCTCTTTCTCCAGTGAGGTTGGCTCCCCCTTCACAGTGTCCATTAATTCGCTTTCGTTCTCAGAGGGTGGATTGGTGCTAGTGGGTGTGCACTCGCTTTCACTAGCCGAACGCCCGCTGAAGCCGTCCTCCTCTGGACCACCTGTGACCCCGCAAGTCGATCCATCACTATCCGCTCCACGGAGTTTCTGGTGGATTCGCTGATGTCGGACCAAACTGTGCTTGAGGGTGAAAGTGCGCTCGCATGTCTGGCACTTGTAAGGCCTCTCACCTATTGGAAACAAGCCATTAAAAACATTCTGCTTTATTTTATTAAGGAACAAGAGCTCTATGTTTTGATGAATGATCTATACCAGTGGTTTTCTGGAGTACCCCCAGCCCTGCACATTTTGTATGTCTCCCTCATCTATCACACTCATCAGCTCATTAGTGGAGACTGCAAGACTTGAAGTGGGTGCGTCTGATATAGGGAGACATACAAAACGTGCAGTGCTGGGGGATACTTCATGGAGAGGTTTGAGAACCCCTGATCTATACCAATCAAGTAAGTTTTTAGTATTGTCATTACCTGTGTGAGAGCGCATGTGTCTGGTGAGGTCCTGAAGGCTCCAGAAACGTTTGTTGCATATACTGCACACCTTTTTCCTCTTGTCCGGCTTGCTGCCAGGTTCTTCAGTCTCTCCCTCAGTACTCTTTGGTTCAGTTGCAGCTCCCTCTTCATCACTCCTCTCCTCTTTATCCTCCTCAGACCCACTCTCCACCACACTGCCCATTCCCTCGTTCTCTGCTGTGCCCTTCCTTACACTCTCCACCTCTTCCTCTGTAACCTCTTTCTTATTTTCACAAGGCACAATCGGATCGTCTGATTTCATGAGGCATTGTTCAGGTCCATTTGTTGAGTCTGATGCTACATCCAGCTGGTGAACTTTCTCATGTCTGGTCAAGGTAGCAGCATAGCGGAAGCTCTTCTTGCAACTTTTGCAGGTCAATTTGGACTCCTCCTGAGGTGTTGCTTTGTCAGACATGTCACCATCTGCTGCAGGAGAGGACTGTGGTTGGTCTTTCTCAGGGATCTTGAAGTCCTTAGACTTGGAAACAAAGGTCAAGTCAAGGGTCTTATTGCTATGGGAATCGCCATCCTCTTTTTCTGGGTCATTGTGCTTCAAAGACTCGAAGGCTGCTGGGTCCTCCTCTTCTTTGTGAGGAAGAGGCTCTACCACGGCTGCCTCTGTCGGCTTAGCTGGTGAAGGTTTCTCAGCATCAGATGCTACAGGCTTCTCAGAGTCTGATCTTGTGAGATCCATTGCCTCACTCACAAGAAGCTCAGTCTCAGATGTACTCTCTGAAATATACAATGACCCATTACACTTCAGGTAATAAAGTGCAGTTTTAACTTCTATCAACAGATTAAAAAAACCACTTTGTCTAAAGTACATAAGCAATTCAAAAGGTTCCATTATATATTATTTTTAATACCTGCACTCTCTGCTGAGCCTTCCTCTGCTTCTTTAGGGTTGGGTATTGCACCATTGCATCTAAGCACTCTGTTGGAAATGCCATGCTTGCGTAAAAGATGTCGCTCACAGTTGGACTTGGTTGAGAAGAAGGCATCACACTGGAGACAAGGATATGGCTTCTGACCTTTTTAAGGAACACAAAATAATATCAAGAAAATAAATTACACATATATAAGGGGTAAAACAGAAGGTGTACATCAACACTGTAAACCCTGTAAAACTTTACATACAAGACTCACCTGTGTGTGTTAACATGTGGCGCTGAAGCGAGCTGGCCCAAGGGAAAACTCTGGGACAAAAGGGGCAAGTCATCTTTTGCACAGAATTTGAGTATGCATTCTTCTTTCCTTTGGACTGTTGGGGTTGAACAGTCTGCTGGGCTAGCAAGTGTTTCTCATCTTTCACCTCTTTCTCGTTACTAGCACCTGGCTGCCGCCCGCCTTTTCTTGCCAACTCAATTGTGTTGGTCTGAAGATAGGCGCTGAACTTGTTGGCATCAGTGGTTGCCAACATCCTCTCAACACTAGCAAACTCCCCACTAGACTCCAAATCAATACTTGGGTCTGTGGCATTCATCACAGGTTTCTCTTTTGATGTGCGGTTGGAAGGCCTTTTCCTGGACCTCTTCTTTGAGCTCTCTAGTGAGAACTCTTCTGTCAAAATATCTGGTGATTCTTGCTTGACATGAGTATCAGAATCAGCCTGAAGACTATTAGTGTTGTCCCGTTTAAGAAGGTCAGGGGCACCAGAAACAGAGGAAATTATCTGAGCAATAGATGCTAGTGGTGGAAGCTCCTTCATAGCAGCAGAGGAAGGTTTAGGAAGCAGGGGCTTTAAACGCAAGAGCCTTCCTGCAGCATTAGTGCTACCAGTAAGGGAGGGCAAAGCAACAGGGACCTGGTAGCATCCAAGAGGTTGGGACTTCTCATCAATGGACTTCTCGGCCTGAAGAGCCTGAGCAAGTATGCTAATGGATGACTGTTCTTTCTTGACCTCTCTTGGCAATGCAGCCACAAATTCTTGTTTAAGCTTCTTTACAGGATTCTTAGGAATAGAGAGGTCAATGGGTTCCATGTTGGAGTCATAAGAGACAGGTTCAATTTTGATCCCAGGAGATCCAGTCACACTTCCAGCACTGCTGCCCCCATGACTTTTGTTAGAGAAGTCCAGAGGTTGATCCATATCTACGCTGTAAAAGCTAAGGTCCTCAACTTTGATAGGCTGCACTACAGAGCTAGGAGAACCGTCATTGAGAGGAGATGGGTTTGGGCTATTTGGGGTTGATGCAGCTAAAAGAGTGATTATGTGTTCTTCAATATCCTGCTCTTGGACCTCTGGATGTTGTTTCAGAAGGTGATGGATACAGTTACGCTTGGCAAGGAAGGCTGCTCCACAACGCTTGCACTCAAATGGCTTTCGCCGGCAGCCATTGTGTGTGCGCAAGTGAATCTGCAGAGCCCGAAAGGTCTTTAGTTTCTCCCCACAGAAGCGGCAGGTAGTTTCACTAGTTCCAGCCTGCTCCAGTACGTCTGCTGTGGATGTGGACGAAGTAACATACTTAATGTTTTTCTCAATCTCCTTGCGATTGTTTTTCATGTGCTTTTTGCGAAGGTGGCGCTCACAGTTAGCCTTGACAGTAAATGGGTAATGACAGAGCCGGCAGACATAGGGACGCTCACCACTGTGCGTTCTCAAATGACGGATCAGCGTTGCCTTGTCTGGGGCAAAATAGTCACAGATATTGCATTGGTGGGGTAGGGTGCCCAAATGATATCGCATATGTGCCTGCAGCACACCAGAAAATGCAAACACCTGGTCACAAAATCGGCAAGGGTACAAACCTTTTTGAGAAGTTCCCTTTCCAGTGGTCTCTTCTAACTTGCCATTCTCCTGTTTGATATGTCTTTCATCCATGTCCATTGGGGTATGGGCATCTCCCATGCACTCAGCTTCCATTTGTATCCTCTCTGCAGAAGCCTGGTTGTTGGCAGAAGAGGATGAGGAAGATGAGGAGAGGTCCTGAACTGTCTTGAGAGGATGGCTGACAGGGGGTGGGAGGCTAGGGCTGATACAGCCCAAAGAAGCTTGCTGGGTGTTTAATAGGGGTGGTGGAGTTGAAGCTACCATACTGGTTCTGGGAGCCACCAATGGCTTTGGCTTGAGTGGAGGCATCTGCTTGTAGCCTGACTGCATGGCACTACAAGGCGCCTTGGATAAGGGTGGGAGAGTGATCTGGTTAGAAGCAGCAGAAGCTACTTTGATTATTTGCTGTATATCAGCGAGTTCTGTGCTGGTTTCACCACAAACAGGCTTCACTACCATACCACCATCTGGTTGCACCAGAAAACCAGTCTGGAAGGGCTGAAGGGACAGCAGATTGAGAGCCTCTTGATTGGACAGACCATGAAGAGTCGTTGGGTCTACAAGAGACAGGTTAACCCCTCCAACAAGGCCAGCCTCCTGAGGTACAGTGGACTGATTCTGGTCCACGTGGATAACCCGAATGCTATCTAGCTTGGCCTGCTGGACATCCTCTTCTGAGGGGGCAGGCTTAATCTGAGAGATGTGCTGCAAGCCCAGAGAGTCCATGAAGCTGCTTTTCTCAGGAGTGGGAAGCTCATCTTTCATAATTAAGGGTGAAGTTGTATCTTGGGTACCACTGGAAGTCTCATGTGAGGTTTTGTGCAAGTCCAGAGCTGAGCTAAGAGGGAATGCTTTATTGCATGTGTCACATACAAAACGATGGAATTTGCCAGTACATCGCCGAAGGTTGGTTTCACACCAAATCTGTGGGTTAAAATAAAATTGAGACTTAACAAAACTCTCAGATATTACAGACAAGATAAAGAACTTTTACATACTGTGCAGATCAAAAACAGAACATTTGACCGTGGCTGTTACCTGTGCAATTTGAGGGAACTTCTGGCATGAAAAGTCAATGAAAGCCAGATCATTAAAGCCAAGAGGGATGGATGGGTTGTTCTGAATAAAGGGTCGTCCGTTGGGGTCTGTGGGTAGCTGCTTATGGGTAGCTGCATTGTGGCGGAGCAAACTTCGGTGAGTCCGGAACGAGATGCAGCATAAATCACATCTAGGAATAAGAATACTAATGTGAGGTGCTGACATCAATGGATCAAATGTTTTATATATGCATATATTCATACTAAATAACACACTGACAATCACACATTCATATATATTAAATAAATATAAATTATATATTTATTCATTGCCCAAAATCTTTAATAAACAAAGCATCCAATCTACAGTGTGCTGTAGAGACATCCGCACAGGGAAAATAGAGCTGGGATTTCCTAAGTGAATAAACTAAGAGCTGGAAGTTGATGATAACCACACCCTTGCCTGCAATGGCACTCTTTCTGTGTTTGTAGGGTGCTGCATAAGACAGCTAGCTAATGTCTGTGACACTGTGCACTGGTCTTGTCACATGCCCTGCCCCTGATCATGGTGAGGACGTGTCCATAGGGACTGTAAGCTGCTTTTTTCTCAGTAGACATACACAATGCAACGTAAGACAGAGCATAGCAGCGCATCCACCTGAGAAGCATAATGCCTTAAAGTGATAATAGGTTAAGGACCCATGCTTGAGAATAATTTAATAAATTGTCAGTTTTGCGTGAGAAAGCCATGAGAAGAAAATTTAGCTTGCCTGTTACAAAGAGTTCAAGCACTGTTACCTATAATTACACTAAGCACTAACCATTGCCTGTCCAGGATGCTGTTGCTTCTATTGGCTATTCTGCAATGGCTTCAAACGTGGTTCATCCAATCAGATTTCAGTGTCAGAACTGATTTATTATAGCATTTATGGGAGTGTCTGTCTTACTTGGAAGGGCTGTTTGGGTAAGACAGATAACACGTCTGTATCTTGAAAAGCATTCTTGGGTCTGTTTGTATGTGTGTGTAGTTATTTTGATGCTTTTAGAACTCTTGTGGAACCCAATTCACAGCAGTCTAGATCCTCTTAACTAGCACTCTTAGCTCTTGTGATTACACAGGATTAGTGCTAAATTTGCAGTACTTCCATACAACAATAACGCTGCTCTGAAACACAATCAAACAGGCCGTGCCAACTTCCTTCTCCCAGAGCAATGCCGTACAGCTATCCATTAACTAGAGGAGCTACCCATTGGTTGGGTGAGTTTAGAGGAATATTCTGCAGTCTGAAGTCTCCAGGGATACAGCTACAACCTTGAATGCATGCACACACTACTACAGAGATGTCCTGCAGAATGCATCTTCCTGAAGTCTCCTCCTGTGTCTCATTAAATCCCCCCCCAGCCACACATCCTCTGTGGTCCCCCCCCCTCTATTTCTCCCTCTTTCCTCTACGTGCCACTCCCTTGCCCTAAGCCTGGGGGCCACATGCGGGGGGGGGGGGGGGCTTTTCTGGCT